TGCACACCACGTTCATCGACCGTAGAAATACGAACGCCGAACTCTACCGCAGGGCTAATGCAGCCGCTGCATCCAGATATAGCCCCTCTCCCAAGTTAGCTATCGAAAAGTGTTTGCATGAAAACAGGGTTGAACTAACTGGATACGTTTTGAGAACTGACAATCGTGACCCCATGAGACAGGTAAGTTTTCGTAGGGACATTGCTATCCCATATACGCCTATCTTCAGAAGACCGGGGCGACCCAGGAAGAATTGGTTGGTGACCTCTTTAGATCTTTGCTAAAAAAATAACGAAAGCGCTTACGCCAATACCCGGAACAACAATGCCAACTTTTGCAAGATGCCAGAGACCGACTGTTTTAGCCTTGCTCTTGCCGCTTTGTGAGTGGCCTTCGTTATTATCCGCTATTTGAGACTTACATGCCTGAGGACTCTCCCACTTGCTTCCACGGCGTTCTTTTGTTATTTTGTTTCACCTTAATACCTGTTTATTTTTTATTTCACCGTCAGTTTGCTTGATCAGCCTAGCGTGTTTCTTTTCCGACATCGGAGGTGCCAAACGGGCACTCGGTCAGGAAGGTGTAAAGTCTTTTCTGTTCCATTTCACTTAGTTCCATCAGACCTTCTTCGTGCCTTGGCTTGGAACAAAACCTTCAGGAGGACGAACTGTCTATTTTGAAGGCAGGTTGCGTTAAGATTTGCTTTGGTCGATGTTGCACACACATAAAAACAATATATATATATATGTCTATATATAAAGCTTCGATTTCAATTGCCAGGCATCGCTAGCTCAGCGGGAGGACGCTCCGTCGCTTTTTTCAATGTCGCCCTGTCCTATTGATGGATTTGCTTGGCTTCCTGACCTCCGCAGGCTGCTTGCCTCCGAATTGAGGGCGAGAATTTCATTCTCAAAGCGCAGGTAGGGGAGGGTTTGCCGTCGCAGCGTTTTTTTATCTTGAGCTTCACAGGTGGAACACCTGCAGCAAAAGGCGCAAGATGCGACCAAAGAAGCCGTGGCCCAAGGCTTTTTCCCAATTGCAGCTCTTGGTTGAGCATATTGTGACAGCTTTTGCATTGAACATGCCATAAATCTATTTTCTCATGCTCAGGTGCAATCTTGCCAGGCATACTTGGCGCAAGCCCAGCAGGCCACTCTGCGCAACAAGCAGCCGCCTTCTCCAACTATGGACCTCCTTTTGCGCTTTCCTGTCAGTTGCTGGAGTGTGTTGCCAATGGCCGCATGCTTCATCGCACAGATGTTGGCGTCTCAGGATGCGACCCTTTTGTAGTGGCGTTTGCGGCGTTTGTTTGCCTTGGCACTTTGAAGCTAGACTTGTCACAGAGACCAGGCGACGGCTAGCTAGCTCTATATAGAAGCTCTATATAGATTTATATAGATCCAATTTCTCAGTGCGTTGGAAGCTCACCACTCCCTGGACAACATCAACCTTTGATCACGAATGCTCTATCTATGGTTTTTTTCTGAATGCGGAGGGAATTTGGAGGAGGGTACTTGGGTACTTTTACATTATCACCTGAATTGTCCTACCCAACCAAGGGTCAAAGCCTATGTGTAACACTGCCGGTGCCAGTATTCTGAATAGAATGCGTGGGTGAAACTCCAATTGTCCATTCTTCCTTCCTAGCGCGGAAGGCAGCATTCTTTGAGGTAGAGCCGGTCAGAGCAACCATTGCAGCCGCACGACTGGAGCCAAGTTTGAAAGCCGAAGAATCAATATGGACACATGCGGTTGAGCACGACCTCCATTGAATGGTCATCGTGGACCGACATTCCTTTTCAGATCTTTGGGCTAGTGATGGCTAGTAGTGCTCCATGACCGCAGTTCCTGTGCTTGTTCGTTGTGTTGCCGGGTCCTTTGCAAGTGAGGCAGAAGTGCCAAGCGAGCTTTGCAGGGAAAAGGCTGACAACCTGAAACTCTCGGGCTTTTTAGCGGAATCATCTTGAGCTGTGAGGGCGGAGCCACCCGCAGATGCACAATGTGGCTCATCCCTTGGCGCATGGTATGGAATGCCGAGTTAAAGCCAAGAGCACCGCTGTTCTCGAATTTTCGAGGCAGCTTTGCCCGGGGAAGCATCTCTCCAGGCTTGTCGAGCAATCGCAGAAATTGGCAGCGCTAGACGAAGATGCAAGAAGTAAGGTACAGCGGTGTTGGATTCGGGTAAGTGAGACACTTGCGAAGCCAAACAATATGGACGCACTGAGGTCATTTTCCTTCTTACTCAAGGGAGATGAAGCATTTCACTTCAACTCCTTCCCTACCACAATTAGGCAGTCAAAAGCATTGCAGTTGGAAATTAGGGAAGAGTTGGAAGATGTTGGAAGGGAATTTCCCTTGGCCTCCCTTGATGCTGCTGGTTGTAGAGTCCAGCCCCACCCAGAAGAGTGAGGCCACATGTGGGGATACAATGCCGCGCCATGCTGTGACTGCAGAGGTTCCAGTACAACGGAACATGTCAGGCGAAGGGCGGAAATGCTTCAAAGCTCTCTCCCCGAGCAGATAGGCCGTGGATCAGCTGTGGAAAGTTTCGGGAGAAGTGCCAAAAGCGACCGGTCAGGTCAAGCGGTGGCAATTCTAAGGACTGCAAAGCGTCCCTCATCACCCTCCATCCGTTGGACAGTTCGTTCCAAAAACGGATGCCGACCGGAGCCTGTCTCAAAAAGGACCGACGATCACCTGGCAGAGTGGCCCGCGCCCGGCTTCCCATGTGTCACGCTGGGTGCGCCACCGTTTTGTGTCCAAAGGCTTCGCCCAACCGAGGCCAACTCCGCCGGAACCGGTGGGACAGGGAGCTCTGAGGCTGAAGCGACTGGCTCGGAGAGTGCTGGTTGTCAGCTAGGGCCGGACATCCTTACCATCCCTCCCTTGGTTTGCACTCGCTTTTGCTTGGATTGTGAAGTCTCACAGTCCTAAAGGCAAATTTACAGAAATGGGCTTGCCCTGAGGTGCATGTCAACCTGCCTCCGAGCCCCAGCATGGTGAGTCCTCGACAAGGTCAACAGACCTGTGGTGAAATGATCAGATGATCAGTGCATTGCAACACTTTCGCGTTCATCGACATTCCAGGCCCTGCCAAAGACCTGGCTTGGCGCTCTCCTCAAACCACCCCCCTCTGGGATCAAACAATTCCGGCTTTGGGCCGCACACATAAGGTCGAAAGCATCCGATGAACACAGCTCCAAGGTACAGCTCTTCCTTGTTCGTTGTTTGCCTCTCAATTTCAGTGATTTGTGTGGCCTGGATAGGCCGAATTGGACAGTGAGCCTCGACAAGTGCTACAGACGTCAGACCTGAAGACACAGCACTGCCTGCATGACCTTGTCACACTTCTTTCCTCGGTGCATTTGATGTTGGTCAGAGCCTTCTTGGCAGGTTTCTTCGGCAGCCTGGCTCCTAAGGAGATCTAAGAACAATTGTGGCTTAAGTACTGTACCTTTGATTGCCGTTGATGAAGCTGTTGCCAAGGCGCGCCCTTCTGGTGGCAGCGCTAAAGAAGGGCTCGCAGGCGGAGGACTAAACAGATGCACGTGATGAGTGCCGTCAAAGCTATACTATAGTACAAATAATACAACCCGGTGGAACTTGACGGAAGCCGAGGAGAAGATGATTACCATGAAGGATGACTTAACACGTTCGAGCCTTACAGTCCGAAGACGGGAGGAAGCATGCTTGAGTTGTCCCAAGTTACTAGTAACTAGTAAGGCACTTGTTACTACTAGCGTGGCACTTGTTACTAGTAGCTTCCTACCCCCCCCCCCGCGCGCACAAAGTCTTCCACGTCGTAAGACACGCCCTTTCCACGTGCTGACGCTCTTTGAAAGACCTGTAGCCTGAGATTTGTGTGCATTTCCGCAGCCTAGTCCAGTGGCCTTTAGGCAAGGACGTAATCATCCACAACCTGAAGCATGATCAGCTTGCCCTTCAGCAGGACTGGGGTCCAGTTTTTTTTCTTTGGGTACAGTCATGTATGGAAAACGAATGAATCAGCTGGGAGAGTGTTAAATAGATGATGACAGATGCAAGGAACTCCAGAATCAGCAGCAGCTGTTTGAGAGCCAGTTTCAGCTCATTCAGTCCTCCAGCCTCGCTTGGCTGCTCTGATTTGCGGCAAGAAGCCTAAGCAACTTATGTTCCATGGGAGGCAGCAACACCAGGCGCAACAACTTCAGCAGGCACTTTGAAACGCAGTTGTCTTGGCCTGGATGCCCTGACCACTCACTTTCCAAACGAAGTTTCTTTTGAACGGGCTGGCGTTCCGAAGCTCAAAGGTGACAACTCTGTGCTGAGCAGGTGAAGCAGTACCAAGACCTTGAGGCACTCCTGCTCCAACCCCAGATTTCCGGTAACGCCCAGATCTTCGTGGTGCCGAGATGTGCCCAGGCATGCGCATATGCAGTCACGGGCACCCGAGCCAGAGGAGAGAACGAGTGAAGCCACGGTAACTCCATGTAACTCCCAAACAGTGCGACTGGTGAAAGTGAGGAGCCATTGGTACCGGAGCTGCTGGAAGGCTGGACGCATCTCAAAGGTGCTATTGGTGGGGGACTGGGAGTTTCATTTCAAGTTGTACTGCCAGGCGTACCATGCACTTGGAATATGGAGGCAATGTGAGATGCCCAGCCTCAAGCACTTAAATACATAGTTTTTTCATGTATTTTCTTCCGTTCTGCTTAATCGATTGATTGATAGGCAGCGGGGGAAGAAAGAAAGAAAGAAAGAAAGAACGAACGAACGAAAGAAAGAACGAACCAACGAACGGACGATTGAAATACATAATTACTATTAAGAATCAAGTAAACAAAAAGAAAAGACAAGAACATCAAAGAATAGAAAGAAAAAAAAGACAGAAAGAAAGAAAGACAGCAAGAAACAAAAAGAAAAGAAAAGACAAGAAGAGACAAGAACATAAGAGAATAGAACGAAAGAAAGAACCTGAGGCCAGTTCTGAGCTCACCAGAGACTTGAGAGCCAATGACGGTGGGATGAATTCGACGAGCAGTGTCAGAAGACAGGGCACGCTTGGCACGGTTGCAAGAAGCCACGGAAAGAACATCTCAATGAAGTGGTCTTAAAGCGGGTTTGGCATTTCTTTGTCGTAACTTGTTCCGCGTTGCGTCCAATTTGATGGTCGGTGTGGTCGCTCTCAGGTGCACGCACTTGTGGACTCAGTCCCGCACTAGCACAAACAGAATTTCCAGATTAGTATCTGGATGACCGACTGCACAGCACGTTTGTATTTTTATGCCCTGATCGTGCCTTTGGCCACAGGATGCACTCGGAACGGGGAGGAAAAGGCATCATTCCTACTTCTGTGTGGTATGGTGAATTGTTGGGCATTCTTTGAAGGTAGGTATGTGTGGCTTTGGGTTTGGAAGAATCAATGCGCTTCACTATCCGCCTGAAGGATTCTGAAAGTGTGGATAGGGAGCGGAAGGAGCTGAATTTGGGGTTCCGAATGCGCCCACAAATTCCACACAGTGTCTTGTGGTAGCATAATTAGCAGGAAGTGGTCAGCCCCAAAGAGATTTGCTATATAGTTCTGTCCACGAAGCACCTGCATCTTTTTGGTGCTTAGTGCTTGGGTGTTTGTGGATCATCCCAGTGTAGCAAAGCACGGAATTGCCAAACAAGGTACTGTAACAGTGACAATTATAGTTGTAAGTCACATTAAGTCACTACGTGCATGCCGTTCTGGTGGTACGACGGCAAGAGCGCCAGGTTTCCATAGCTTCAAAATTTGAACTTGTCGGTAGCAAGGGTCGGACCCTTGAGATGTTCCGGCTCCAAGAGTCCTGAACCCGTTTATCATCAGTGTGGCAGAACTTGCCGTCCAAGCCTTGCCTCCTGTAGGCAATTGAACCACTGCGCGAGCCTGGTTGTTCCGTTTGTCTCCGGCAGCCTTGATTTCGAGTATAGAACACTCACATGCAATATGATGCGCCACTTTGATGTCCACATTCACCTTGTTTTGATTCATTTTGGCGAGACACGATGTATTTTAAGGCTTGATGATGATGGGTAGCTTGGTCAGACATCGCTCAGCTTGAATTCTTACAAGCTCAACAGCCACGAGCATGGATAATGTCACGTACACCTTTATGTTGGAAAATGGGGCCGGGAGCTGCTGTCATGTTCCATTGCCGGAGCATTGAGGATGTATTATAGCATAATTGCGACTTGATTGAGGACCCTTGCAGTGTTTGACATCCGCTATACTGACTGGTTCAGATAGATTCAAATTTGCAATGGCTTCAGCCCAAGGACCGCAGTTGCATGTCCAAAGTCACAGCTCAGAAATGCTGAGATTCGCAGGCCGCAGGCAGTGAGCCTTTGCATCGGTCTTGCATGTCAATCTATTTGGCATGACCGGTGTGGCTCGGCTGTTGGACCAACATTGGCAACACTTTCCAGCTGTTCATCATTTCACCAGTGATGAGCGGCAAAATTTGTTTCCCAAGGCCACCCATGATGCCAGACACTTGGACACCTGCTTTGCTTTATCATGCTGTATCTCAATACATCAGTAAAAGCTAAAGCAGTTTCAAAAGCATTTTTCTTTTTCCAGGCCTGGGCAGAAAGGGAGAGCGAGCTCGGCCCTGTGCACCTTTTCCTTGTGTTTGCAGCGCTGGCTTGCATTCTACTCTCAATCTCGAGGCCTAATCCCGGAGCAGGGCAGGCCCTCCATTAAACATTATATAAGCTTTGCAGCCGAGTTTCAAACTTTTACCAGGTTAGTGCATGTTTGCCTGTGATGTGACAGGAGCACGAGAATGAGGAAACTCTGCGCAAGGACCCGCGGTCGCAGGTGTACATTTGACAGTTGGCCAACGGAAAACGATTTACTGTAGATGGGGCTTGGATGCGCAGGATGCTTCCAGCAAAAGCACCGCTAGGCAAGCCTTAAGCTCCCCTGGTACACAAACTGCGGATGAGGCGACGTAAACACCATGCTGGTAGAGCGGATTTGCACAAACCTTACGGTATATATATATATATATGACTGAGAAAGGCTAATCTTTCTCCAAAACAACCACATGCGAGCTAGATGCAGACAATGGAGGTCAAGGTAGTTATTCCCACGCACCTGCCAGTTCACGAAAGGTAGCCCTTCAGGGGATACGTTGAGTTTGTTTTGCGAAGCAAGTGTGGGCTCCTCCGGATCTAATAATTGATAGTTCAATTCAACCCCCCCTTGGAATTGATTCTTCAATACAGCCCCCCCCCCTTAGAATTGATTTTTCAATTCAGACCCCCCCTCTGACCGCTTCATCCCGAAGTGGATCACCTCGACACCTCGATGGTTATTTGGTGTTGAGCACTCTGAGCTTGGGGCAGTGATTGAATCCATGAAGAGACATGATATGTTGTTTTTAGTGCTTCTTGTCGTTGAGGATTATCATATAACTATATATATATATATCACGAAAGCTAGCACCAGCTAGCTGGAGTTGTCCTTGCTTTCGCAAGTGAGGGGCTGGAATCCTCGGGATCACCGCATCACGTGAAAACTTCATATGTAGGGGGGCCCCCCCCCCCCCGTGGGTTCAACTCCCCCCTCGGACGCCTCTGGGACGCCTCTCGGGCATCTCTTATGGCATCCACTTTGGCTTAACTCCTCCGGGATACGGTGCAACAGATTCAACAAGCTCACATGTTCATGACATCGACATCGATAGAAGAAACCAAACAAATCATGCCAGCAGCTTTGTTTTGCCTCTGGGACACCTCTTGGGCACCTCTTATGGCATCCACACTGGTTCAACTCCTCCGTGGAGGTTTTGGGATACGGTGCAACAGATTCAACAAGCTCACAGGTTCGTGAACACATCGGATGCATCGAACAGTGTGGCAAAGTCCAGCCACGCTTCCTTAATTATCGGGGACTTCAATTCGAAGGTTGGCTGTGTCATTGCTGTTTGTGTGTCTTACATGTTCACAACGTTTTACCTCATGAGCATTTGCCTCACTCCGCTTGATGTCCCACCAGTCCGGATGCACCCCTGCTAGCTTTCGTCACCTACCCTCGGCCTCAAGTATATATTTTATGTATATATCGAACTTTGGTCTTTTCCCCCATTCTCAAGTTGACGCATAATTCGACTCCACCAACAACACACTGCATATTTTGCATGCTTATTTTCCTCCTGCTGTCCTACCTTTCGTGTATCCCTCTTCTCAAGTTCTGTTTCCCAGGCGCTTTCTTGCTTGCAATCGCTCACTCACACATGCAGAGTTGGAATATGGTGAGGACAAAGCCTCATGCGCGACCAGCTGCCTGAATGTGCCATAACTTCCTTGTATGAAGAGTGAAGTCTATTTAGACAAATCCTTTCGCACTATCACTAGGACTGGGGGGAATGAAGTTGGCGTCATTTGAGCCAAGTTTGAAGGACATGAGCCTGACACATAGGGAACTGACCACACTGGAGACAAAGACAATGGGATGCGGCGCTGCCTCACCAAACCATTCTCAACGTCCGTCGAACACGTTCAATAAACCAATCATTGAATCATTGAATGGTAAACCAACCAACCAACCAAGCCGACCAGCCAACAATGAAACAGACTGTTTGAGACCAAGATCCATTCCGCCCTAAGCTCACACAATCCTGCGGGCATCTTAAGCACCAGCCACGACAAAGATTTTTGCACCCACAAGGGATGCGACAAGGCGAGGTCAATCCTGAGGAAGTTCGCATGCCTAACATTGTGAGATGCGGTCATTCTATTCTATTCCTTCATAGCCTGCAGATTGGCAGGAACTGGAGGAGCGCCAAGCTTTGATCCGACGCCTGCAAGGACAGAGCCCCGATGTTAACCTGCTTGACCACGAGGTTTGCACATGGAGTTTGAGTAAAGCGCCAGGTGAGAGCTTCCTACTTGCCACGCAGGTGCAACATTAATACTACTTGTAAGCTATGATAACTGTGCGATTTGTCAGGTGAAGCAACTAGAGCAGCAAATCATGGATGCTAGCAAGGATGCAGCTTGGCATTCAGCAAACGGCGCCCCTTTGCTGTTGGCATATGTCCACGATGATGCATACTGCTCAGGCTCAAAGTTGCTCCTCCCAGCCAGGGTCATAGATTCCGACATTAAGGGCTTCAGCTGAACAGCTTTTGACGAAAGTGAGCAAGCATCATGTACTTTAGTTGTACGGCAGCTCCTCTCGACGCTGTCTCATGTCAAGGCTTGCCCAAGTGTTGCAGCTGATGGACAGTACCGGCGGACGCGTGCCGTTGAAGGGCGAGGCAGCTTCGCGCTGATTTGTTTGTGTTGGGCGGTCGATGCAATTTATAGCGGCTTATCTTTACCAGGTTGGTCTGGTCATACAAGGAAGTAAAAGCACTTGAACAAACAACTCAAACATGACTGTGACTACAGTGTATAGCCTTTATCTACATCACTGAAGTTTGATAAGCTTTCACCTCCACCCTGTGACGCTATCGCTATGTCAAGTCATGCACCATCCTCGCATTGGGACAAGCATAGCCGCACGGGATCCACCAAGACCAACACAACGATTGAGGACCCTCACGAAGATCGACAAGCCTTCAACCAACTAAGCAAAGATTTAGCAAGATTGGTCCACAGACATCCGAGGCACAAGGCCAAAGGCAATCGGAAGAAAAGGACATGTGAGATGACTATGGCTGCAAACAAGCAGCAATTGATATGGGAAGCTAAAGTCCCACCAACCTGCCAAAAGAACAGGGGCAAAGCAGGCAAAGCTTGGATTGCGCCTGGCTCAACGAGCCATGTCGCCTGCTTGCTGACATTTGTCACTATTGATCGCAGGTCGATCGTGCGCGTGGGCTGGTGACGGCAGCTCGACGTAGTTACCTCAATGTCCTGGGAATAAGTGAAATGCAATTTGACAAAGTGAATGCGACTTCAAGGCTGGCGGAGACATTTGTTCTCAATGCTGAGGTTCCATTCGCCGTGTGTCCTGCTGGTCCGGTGAAGATCAGCTTCACAGCAGTCGAGGTGCACAGAATGCCCGGCGCCCCAACTGCGGAGCCTAGTGCTTGTAAGAATGCTGTGTATCATTGGCTCGTGTCATTATTCCCTATGACGTGTGCAATTGGTATATATATATATATAGAACTCTATATTGTGGAATATAGTGGTTTTGCACTTGGGCGCTGCTTCACCTTTCTCTCATTGAGGCGGGTGCAGCTGGGCCATCTGCTCACGCGGCGTCCGTGACATGAAAACTCATTGAACATTGCAACCGCCAAACTCAGTGGTAGCCAAGGCATCGCATGAATGGCAAGACTGAAGTCGAGCGCACTTTGCCAGAGAGGCGCTGATGCACCAGTCTTCGAGTGTACTTCTCAATCCTCTAAGCAAGTCCACGTTTAGGCGGCCTTCACCACTGGGAAGGCTACAGGTGCCTTAGAAGCAAAGCCGAACATCAGAAACTCGAGATTCGCATCGATATTGATGAAAGCATTTGTCGGAGGCTACCAAGGGAAAAAGATGAGCAAATGAACAACAATACAAAAACACCAAGCAAAAAGGAAATTCGGAAAGGAAGAAAGAGCAGTTGAGTGAAGCCATGTCACCTGAAGATTGCCTGAATTTGCTCAGTCCCCTCGGGGCGACCCTACACAGCACGGAACTGAGTTGAATCAGTAACAAGGGCATCGCTACTAGGAGCAACTGGCTACTAGTAGCTCCTGGCCATACTACTAGTAGCACGAAGCTACTAGTAGCAGAGGGCATCATTACTAGTAACAAGGGCGTTGCATTTATATATCTCTTCACAATCTGTGTCCACAAGGCGTGACTTGCACTCGGGGCCATGAACTTAGATCATGTCTAGTAATGATACATTGTGCAACGGGACACGCACACAGTGCACCGTGTGAGACGCTTTACAACATTTAGAGTGTGATCCAATCCTGCAAGGCTAGCTGCCTCGGCTGTTGCTGCTGTTGGCGAGGCTAGGTGGAGAGTGTAGAGGGAAACCAACGGCAGTTTCGCTTGCCACCAAGCATTCGTCCTCCAAGTTGGACCAGGATGCTAAAGGAGGAATCAATGGCAGTTTGCCTGCAGGACATGATTATGTTTTTCTGTTCTCTCTAGTCTACTGTAAACGCCTAAACGCCTCAGATGAGTTCATATCAGCTCTTGTGTCAATCTCAGGAGCTTCTAGCAAATCGTCAGAGCGGACAAGCAGGCATTGGCTATTTGGCTTGAATGACCTTGAACTTGGTGTTTGTGCAATTGATGTGTCACAAGCCAACTGCTAGGTCCAAAGGTGCCGTGAAGGACTGGGAGTCACTGACACGCTCTCTCTCTCTCTCTCCCTGCCATCTCCTCCACACATGTGGCCACTTATATAGCTGGTTTGATGTGGGAGGACGCTCGGAGTCGGCGAGTGCGAGAGCGCGCCACGCGCTCAAATGAATACTATTCAAGCACAACACATGATCAAATATGGATGGAACCAGCCTCAGGGAAGTGCGGAAGGACACAGTGATGGGGACACCCCTGCAGCTTGTCTTGACATGAATCGTCTGTGACCTGTGAGGTGAGCTTTTGTATAGGAGAGGTGTGCACTATGAGTGTTGATTGATGTGCCAGCTTTGGATTACCATGAGGCCCTGCGGCCCTCAAGTCCGAATCCAAGGAACAGAGAACTAAGATTGCTTGGAAAGCCTAAGGAAGCAAGAAAGGCCTGATGAGCTTGAGTCTTCTATTTGAGATGGCTCCAGCATTCACAAGAGTGCAGAGAGCATTGAACACTTGCATGACTTATATCAGTGTCCAACAGCTTGGGCTCACCATAGTGATTGTGTCGTGCTACATCTACAAGCCCGCACGAGGCTTTGCTATTTGCTACTGTGAGCTTTCCACACAAATGGTCGTTGGCAAACCCTTGGCGCAATGGCAAACTATCCAAGCATCTTTTTCTCAAACACCGATCTCATTCGATGGATGGATGGCCCACGTACTTGTGACACATTCGCCGCAGCTGGCAAATCCAAGTTCCGGCAGCAGATGCGCAGCTTGAAAGCAAGTACAGAATATAACACTACGAACCCAGACATACATACATACCTATAATTTTGTGGGTATGTATGTTTCCTCAGACATACGTACATACATACCTTTAACATACATACATACCTATAATTTTCTGGGTATGTATGTTTCCCCAGACATACATACATACCTTTAATTTTCTAGGTATGTATGTTTCCCCAGACACACATACATACCTTTAACATACATACATACCTATAGTTTCTAGGTATGTATGTTTCCCCAGACATACATACATACCTATAATTTTCTAGGTATGTATGTTTCCCCAGACATACATACATACCTTTATTTTTTAGGCATGTATGGTATGTATGTTTCCCCATACATACATACATACATACATACATACCTATCATTTTCTAGGTATGTATGTTTCACCAGACATACATACATACCTTTGACATAAATACATCCCTCTAGTTTCTAGGTATGTATGTTTCCCCAGACATACATACATACCTATAATTTTCTCGGTAGGTATGTTTCCCCAGACATACATACCTATAATTTTCTAAGTATGTATGTTTCCCCAGACACACATACATACCTTTATCATACATACATACCTATAGTTTCTAGGTATGTATGTTTCCCCCG